GCATTCTTCCTCGGTCTTAATAAGAGTCTTCGGAGTTAAAATCGACTCCGTGCCAACGGCGAGCCAGCCAGGGGCTGGCTAGTGACCGACGGCCTCCACTGGGAAGTCTCATCTCCATTCCACATGATTTCACCTCCCAGCCAGTTAGCTCAGGTTTGACACGTGCCAGGGTTCCAAAGGGCAGAGCATGCAGTCTCTTGAGGCCTCAGCTTGGAACTGCCACATTGTCACCTATACCACATCCTATTGGGCAATGTAAGTCATGGGCCAGTGCAGATTCAAGGTGGGATAGAGCGTCCACTGTTTGATGGGAGGAGTTGTAAAGCCTCATTTCAAAGAAGGGGAGTTGGAGAGGAGTGAAGGGCGGGATCGTTCCTGTGATCTGCCACAGAGGGGTGGAGTGGTGGTTCGGGGGTAGAGTTCTTGCCTTCCATGTGGGAGACCTAGGTTCCCGGCCAGGGTATGTCCTGTGCAGCCTTCACATGTCTCTTTATGGAAGCTTATATCTTGTTATGACACCGAAGAGGGTTAAACTAAGGTGGGCTAGCCAAAAAGACCTGGTGATTTACTTCCATTGTGCATGGGATCCCAACTCCCAGGAGGTGGGACTGACTTGAGGTAAGCTAACATCACTACAATGGGCTGGAGAACAGGTGTGACGGCTGCAAGCCCAGGGACAGCCTCTCCTGCCTCCAGTTCTGACAGCCCTTGCCACCTAAGAGGCTGACAAAGCCTAGCTTAGCAGTAAGACATCTTTGAATAGATGAACGAATCATAGTACTTTCCACACTATAGCGTATACACAGTATATCACAAAGTCTTCCTCCCATAACCAGGGAGTTCCTTGAGGCAGCAATTATGGCTGATTTATGTCTTTGTCCCTAGAGCCCAGGGCAAGTGTGACACACAAAAGACACCCACGGAATGTTTGCTGACTGCTTCATTGATGATGGCGAAGGGTAGAGCTGACAAATGCGATTGGTTCAAGGTGCTTGGAGCAACTAGTATGTAAAGTTAACATTCGGATAGAATACTCCTCCTTCATTGTAATCCATGGTGCATCAAAGTCCAGTGGAACTCACTGCTTCCACCCAGGCTTCCTGGCTTTCTGGTTTCCTCCTCCTCAGGTCCCTGTCGCTCCGGGGGCCCTCAGCTCACAGCTTGGCTTTTACATACAAACTCTCTCTGACTGCTCGCTAGGTGTTTCACAAGTCGAATCTCCTCTTCGTCTCTTTTGAATAAGTTCCACAAAGGCAGGGCCACATCTGCTACCTTTCTCAGATCTTCCAAAGGGCTTGTCACAGGACTGGCCCTATACCAGGTCCTCAGCTGACACTCCCTAAATGGACCATCCATTCTGGGTGGTCAATTGGCTTCAGAAACTGAGCTCCCGGGTGAGGGCTGGTGGTGGTGGTTTGTAGATTCCTGTTCAGTGTCATGAAAACCGTGAGAGCAAATCGTCTCACAAGGTGCCAAGTTCCCTTCCGTGCGGCAAAGCCTTTCCTGTGGTTCCCGTGCCGTCAGGATGAAATGCAAGCCCCTGCGTGCAGCCAGAGTTTTCGGACTTAGCGCCTCTCCCTACTTGCTCCATCTGTCAGCAGGACCTACCTTGGCTGTCATGCTGACGATGCACTTTTCCTCGAAATGATCAGGCGCGCTCTCTTCGGCCGTGAGGTATCAATGATCAGGTGCTCTCTCTAACCTCTTCGGCCATGAGGTATGCGGCTCCCTCTGCCTTGACAGCTGTTCTGCATCGTCCACCACACACCGTGGTCCTTCAAGATTGAATACCAGTATCCTTTCCCCAAGGAAGCCTTCCTTGCGGTGTAGTGGTTACATATCGGGTTGCTCACTGCAAGGACAGCGGTGGCAAGCCACCTGAGGAAGTGTTCTACTCCCACAAAGAATGATAGTCTTGGGAGCCCACAGGGCAGGTCTACCCTGTCCTGTAGGATGGCGATGAGTCCGTGAGTTTGGCTGAATTGATAGGTCCCTATGATTATGAACCCTTTGAGGAGAGAACTGGGTCCCCGTCTAGTTCCAATCCTGGTAAAGAATCGGCGAGAAAGCTGGAAAAGCACCGGGCGGGAATGCTGTATAGAGGATGGGAAGGTTCTAATATGTCCCAATTCCTCTAATATTTGGCTGAAGAATTAGACTCAGGCTCCCTTCCATCTAGTCTACCCCTGCATCCTCAAGCCCGCCACCCCACCCAGTGCTGAGGGTTTGTTCTCAGGCAGGCACGTACACATGTTCTGAACACAGCCGGGAAAGCAATTTGTAAGAAATAATTGCCGGTCGATGTGTGCTTTAGAGCAGCAGCAGCGGCAGTGAGCTCAGACTATTTCTGTCTGTGCGTCAGCCACCAAGCGTCTTTGCTCCTTGGCCACCCTGGGGGGGGAGGGGTGGTTCCTGAGCACAGGCTGGGCAGTTTGTTTCTAATCCAAGACTCCAGACAAGTCCAGCGCAGCTGAAAACCAGCTCTGAGGATTGATCGAATTCCGAGTGGGCTATTGAGGAGCTTTCGGGGGGACCTTCTTTGTGTTGGTCAGTGAAGGCCGTGCATACGCTCTCATCTCCATCTCTGCCTACCCAATCCACCCAGTCCCTCCTGGGAAGTCCTACCAGTTCCACTCAGGGTGAGGTCTCCCGACCTCTTTCACCCAAGTCCTCAAAGCGCTGTCTTTGTTCTTCCTGGCCATGCGCAAAGGCTGGGGCTGAGCCGGGGCGGCCCTTGGAACCGGTTTGAAATGCAAGGTCCCAGGGCTCGCTCCAAACCTGCACCACGGGTGGAGGGGGCTGGAGGGGAGGGGAGCTTCTTCAGCACTGGAAGTTTTAACAAGACCTCCAGAGGTGGTTCTGATGCCTGCTGACGTTTGGGGCCCTGCTTTTTGCTACTGACGCCCCTTGGCTTTCTAGAATCTGCAGCTCTTCGCCTAATATTTGGCTGAAGAATTAGACTCAGACTCCCTTCCATCTAGTCTACCCCTGCATCCTCAAGCCTGCCACCCCACCCAGTGCTGAGTGTTTGTTCTCAGGCAGTGTTCTCCTGTCATCCTGTGGCGAAGGCAAGGGCATGACTGGATTCTTCCCTGTAAGCCTTCCAGTACCCCACACACACCCTGACCACCACCACCTGAGGGCCTGGCACAGCAGATGCTCAGAGAAAAATCCAATTTTATTAAAGGGGTCACCAAGGACAGAGAAGGGATCTGTCCCATGAACAGTCACACTGAGCATCCTTAATTAAACCTCCCACCTACCTCACCACTCCCTGCCCCTGTCCACTCCCAACAAGGGCCCCAAGCCCTCTCCACAACAATGAGCTGGAAGTGCCTGGCTCCTGCCGGACTCTCTGTCCCTGTGCGAACAGGCTGTACTGACACGAGTGTCTTCCAGCCCTGCCACACCTGCAAACGTTGACTCATCTCAGATGAGTCTGTTCCACACCACTTCGTCCTCCCTGGGGCTTTGTGAAGGGCTAGCAGGAGGCCCTTTGTCCTTATCCACGCCTTGCTCCTTCCATATGCGCGCTCTGAGGCCGGGTGCCGTGTCGGGTCTGAGTCACCTGTTTCTGGCCAGCGACATAGGTCCTGGCACAGAACAGACACCCACTGAAGGTACTTAGTTGATGAAGGTGCTGAGTTCAGAGTGGTTAAAAATAAAAGGAAAATGAAAGGCTCCTTGCCCTCCCTGACACACTCAAAACAAGGGAAGTGAGCCCAGAACCACGATCTCTCGAGCTCCAGCCCAGGGCGCTTCTGTGGGGGACTCACCCAGGCTTGCCGTGTGCCCTTGGCTGGTGCAGGCTCCGAGCACCGATATCATTGAGTGGCCACTTCACCGTGCCAACTCCAGCAGAGGGTCGCGTCACTGTCAGAAATGTCAAGAGCCAATTTTCTGGGACTAGGGAGTCTCTTCTGATCGCTGCCTTGCCTTTCCAAGGCCGCGCCCGATGCATGACCTGCCAGAGTCTGGATGAGGGAGCAGCTGGCAGAGAAGAGTGGCTGCCAGCCTCCTGCCCTAGGATTCCTTTGTTACCGGCTTAATTAAAAATAATAATAATAACCCTGCCAGCGAACACATCGTGTTTTCCATTTGCCGACACACGCAATTAAGTCAAGGAATCCTCTCCCGGAGGCTACAAGGTGGCATGACCACGATTGCCGCCTGCAGGAATGAGAAAGGGGCACTCCGTGGTATTCAACACACCCACCTGGAATTTTAGAAAAAAGTTCAGTCTTTGTATCACTTTCATGTTGATGGAGAGAGTTCGTTGAACAGTTGCGATAACCCAGCGAGGGAGGTTCGCGGACAGCCTGCCTGGAGGCCACACAGTGTCTGAACTTGACCGACTCCACCACACGCTGGAGGCTGTGCTGGAGCAGCAACCACTCAGACGCTTGTTCCGCACGCGCGCTGTCATCCGTGTAGGAAACCGAGGGATACGGACAAAACGGGGTCCTGTGCACATCGCGCTTCCTCCCATCCCATGCTGCTGCGGGGGGAATCTCATCCCGGAAACGGGGTCCTGATCATCTTCTGAAAGCCTGAGCCACCCAAATCCACGGCCTCAATTCCAACTCCTGACGGCCTGTGTGTGCAGAGTGCACCTGAGCCCCAGGGATTTCGAGGCTAGGGTCTTTCTGAAGCAGATGGCCGGCCTTCGGGTAGGTTCCAACCCCCAGCCTTTGGGCTAGTAGTTAAGGGCTGAGCCATTTAACCATCCAGGGACTCCCACGATCCTCGTAGTGGCTCAGACATCTACCTGTTCTGAGGCAAGGGAATCAAAGCGGAGTCTTTGGGACCTCCGGGCGGTGAGGCTCTTGTAAGACCCACAGGGGCTCTGGGCTTCTCACCATGACAGCCTTGCTTAGGTGGGGAAGAGCAGAGCAGGCTCCATAGCCCTTTTGACCATACCTTATCTCCTGCTCTTCCTGCTTCACACACGTGCACACACAATACACACCCACACCTTCCCCAGAGAGACTCCAGAAGTGTGTGGTGTGGTGATTTTTATTGCGTGCTTATGGCCCTGGTCCACGTGGGTCTGGACTGGGGAGAGGGGCCTCCTCAGGACTGCCTGGAATGTCACTGGCAGTCACAGTTGGCATGAAGCAGTGCTGAAGAGGGCGCTTGGGGTCTGGAGGCTGCCTCTCACTGTGTTCCAGTGGTTGGCTCGGGAAAAGGTCATTTTGTCCAAGGGGACTCGCTTCTGTCGCCTGCATGACAACTCCTGTGTTCCCATCTGGGTGGTCAGGTTGGGGCTCCTCGGAACCTGGAAAACAGCAAGCTGCAACCCTTTCCTCCCAAGGCAGGTGCCCCGCTCGGGCTGATTTCACAGAGTACTTACCTCGTGCATTCAGGACTCATTCAGACACAACTTCCTTGGTTTCTGCCCACTGTACTATAAAACATTTGTCACTACACCCCAGGGACACGAAGTCCACATCACACGAGTCTTCTCAGGAGCATAGACCTAGTGGAACACTCTTGCCTGATTGGATAAAAAAGTAAATCAAGTGCTCAATCCAGAAAGTTAAGTCTTCTCTCACGTGTTCCCTCACACGTGTACAAAGCCCAATACTCACAAGGGCCTTGGGTTAGGGATGGGGACGTGCCCTAAGGTGGTCCAATCAGAGTAGAGCTGAGGCCTACCTCACCATCATTCACGAAATCTGCCCCTTTCCCTCTGGCCTTGTGGTCTGCCCTTCACCATCTCCTTTCCAGATCCTTGGCAGGGCCTCCGCTGGGGCCTCCTCCAGCCCCTCCTAGGTGCGCTGGTCGGTCCACAGACTGACCTCTGTTCTAGCTCAAAGACCTTCAGTGTCTTCCCATTACCTATGACCCTTCATGTGGCATTCAAGCCCCTTCATGAACTGCCCCTATCCCTTCTCTTCAGCTCCTCACGATTATTCCTCCCTCGAGAATTCAGTGCTTTTCCATATTAAACTCTTCACTGTGCCCCAAATGGGTCCATTCCTTCCGATCTCCGCACCTTTCCTCATCTTGAAATGAAATTTTACACCTTCTCTACAGAGCAAGCTCCTGTGCTTTCAGACACACTGATAGAGGGTATTCAGGAAGAATGCAGTGGTGGCCTTGAAACCAACAGAATAATGAATTTCAAGGAGGAAACTTACAGAGCTTTGGGGTTTGCCTCATCCCAACACTCCAGCTCTGGAGTGGGAATGATCTGAGTCAATCCGGTAATACCATTCCTTTGCCACATTGCTGGGCAATGTACACAGTGTACAGCATTCTCTGGACACAATAATGGTTTAGGAGTGGGCACATGATGTAAGGCGGTCCAATTAGAAGTAGAGCTCAGGCCTTACTCTCTCCCCATTTCTGGCTGAAGGTATAGACAGAACCCTCTTTCTCTTCGTGGCTGGATGGGAACATGAAAGCACATGGTTCTATTGGCATGGAGTCCATGCTCACTCATAGTGAGGACTTGAAGCACCTGCTGATGAAGATCAAGGACTGCAGTCTGCAGTATGGATGATAACTCAATATACACAAGACCAAGATCCTCACCGCTGGACCAAGAGGAAACTTCATGATGGATAGAGAAAAGGTTAAAGTTATGAAGGATTTCATCCTGCTTGGATCCACCATCAATGCTCACAGAAGCAGCAGTCAAGAGATAAAAAGACATGTTGCACTGGGCCTATGAGTACGCGCTGCACGAGACCTTGTTGAAGTGTTGACGAGCAAGGATGCTACTTTGAGAACCACAGTGCGCATGACTCAAGTATGGCCATTTCAGTTGGCTCATCTGCGTGGGAAAGCTGGACACTGAAGAAGGAGGGCCAAAGACGAGTGCTACATTGGCGTGAGGGCGCTGGCACAGAATACGGAAAGTACCCGGACTGGGAACAAACGGATCGGCCTTGGAAGAGGTACAGCCAGAATGCTCCTTAGAAGCGAATAAGCTGAGACTTGGTTCCATGCACTTTGCCCATGTGATCAGGAGAGACCAGTTCCTGGAAAAGGACAGCATGCTTGGTACAGTAGAGGGACACGAGAAAGAAGACCCTCAACAAGATGATCTGAACCAGTGGCTTCAGCAGGGGGCTCAAAGTTAACAGCAATTGTGAGGCGGATGCAGGGTGGGGTGGTGTCTTGTCCTGTTGTGCATAGGGCCGTGATGAGTCGGAATCAGCTCAATGGCACCAGCAAGAAAAGCAACACCTCTGCGGACCTTGTGGACAGCAGCGCAAGGTGGCCCCCACTTTTCCACCACCGCCCCGTCTTGCTACTCAGCAGTACATTTTCAAGTGAAATAGTATGATGTCTTCCCGTTTTTATTTTTCAGTATTATTTCAGCTATCCCAATTACTTAGTTTTTTCCGTATACCTTTTAGGATCAACTGCTGAGCTTTTTGATAACAATTATTTTACACCTACAGATCAAATTGGAATCATTACTCTTGGAGTCTCCCAATCCATGAACATGGTGTATCTCTTCATTTAGTCAAGTCTTATTAAAATGTCCCTTACCAGGAAGAAATTTCTGGTCACTTCTTTCATTGCTAGTTTTCAATATTTAGATCTATATGTTTTGATAGATTTCTACCTAAGTATCTATTCTACTTTCTTTTCTGAGAATCAAAAAAGATAATACGATGTTTTCCACTTATTACTTGTATGTATAAATATGATTGATGTTTGGTCCTGTTCTTATGCACCATGACCTTGCTAAACTCACTTATTACTTCTAGAAGGTTCTTTATTGGTGGGTTTTATAGATTCCATAAGATCCTCAAGGGATCCCTGGTGGCACAGCTGGTTACAAATGTGGCTGCTAAATGCAAGGCCAGTAATTCGAACCCCCCAACTGCTCGGTTCCTCTAAAGTTCAGTAAAGATTTCAACCTCAGGAGTAGTTCTGCTCTGCCCTATCAGGTCAATATGAGTTAGAATCAACTCAATGGCAGTGGAGGGTTTTTAAAATATAGGATCCTTTGTTATTTAAACTTATTTTAAGGCATTCTACAGGTATTGAGGAAGAGTGTACTCCCCACGCTCTTGCACCAACTCAGATACGGCCTCTGATGAAGGGGTCTTAGACTTTCAAGCCCTGGGAGATCTGGGTTGATATAGCAGCAACACACCCTCACTAGCCACAAAACCTTGCAGTGCACTTTCCCTGGCTGAGCCTTGGTTTCTCCTGCTGTAAAAATGGGGGTGATGGTCACCTCTCTTTTAATGCAGCCTAGGAGTGTCCGATTAAGAGCAAATTGAAATGGAAGTCTGATTAAAGGATAAAGCTCTGATAAAGTTAACACAATGAGTCTATAAACTGTCTCAGATGCAAGAGAAGGAACAAGAGGCTCCTGGGATAATACTGTGGGTTCAGCTGAAAAGAAAGAGCAGTACTTGACAAAAACAGAGAGAGAGGACGAAGAGCTGAGTTTGAGCAAAGAGCAGAGAAATCTGAAAAACATCATTTTGTGAAAGGCCAGGAAATGCATTTTCTGTCTTAAAATAAGCAAAGAGCAAGGGTACAAGCTGTCTCCAACCCTGGCAGTGAAGTGCTCTGTAATGGCTTCGCAGTGAACAGCAGGAGGTGGCTGGTTGTCATTCCCAGGGTCAGGAGATGCAATGGGCCTCCCCTTGGAGCCAAAAAAGACTGATGGGGGGCGGGGGGGTGGGGGCAGGGACAGGAGGTCAGGACACAAGCTGCAGCATCCCACAGACTGGGTTTGAATTCCGTTTCTACTAGCCACGATCTTTTGAGTAAGCCACATAACCTTTCAGCTGTTGTATCTGTAAAATGGGTCATCATAACACTTACGCCAACAGGGGAGTAGGGAAAATTAGATATAGTGCATGTAATTTTTCAAATCACATGTAGGGACTCCCTGTCACAGCAATAGTTCTAAGGAGGATGAGGAGAGGAGAGGGGGTGTTGGCCCTGTGCTTACTTATACACTAGAGCAGTGGTACTCAACCTCCTAATGTTTAATACACTTCCTCATGTTGTGATGACCCCCAACCATAACATTATTTTCGTTGCTACTTCATAACTGTATTTTTGCTACTATTATGAATCGTCATGTAAATGTCTGATATGCAGGATGTATTTCCATTGCTACAAATTGAACATAATTAAAGCATAGTGATTAATCACAGAAACAATATGTAATTATAGATTGTGAAATATTTTTCTTTCTTTTTTAAAATCATTTTATTGGAGGCTCGTACAACTCTTATCACAATCCATCCATCCATCCATTGTGTCAAGCACTTTTGTACATTTGTTGCCATCATCATTCTCAAGAAATATTTATTCCTAATGACAAATAAATTTTGTCTTGAAGCATGGTGTAGCATGGGTAACAGTCTTCACACCGGGTACTCATAGGTGGGTGTATCTGCATGTGGGCAGACTCCTCTGGAGACGTATAGAGGAGCAGTGTCTCGGTTCCAATGGTCTTGGGCGACCCTGTGAAAGGGTCGTTTGACTCACAGGTTGAGAACCGCTGCACTAGATGATTTGGGACATGTGTTTCCTCCTCTGTAAAATAGGGGGATAATAAGATTTACCTGTGACAAGCAGGGGAGCGCGTCCATCGAGCACCCACTTCATTTTCATCGCTGTACAAACCTCACTGCCATCGAGCCGATTCGGAGGCTCAGCAGCCCTGCAGGGCAGGGTGTAACTGGCCTTGTGGGTTTCTAAGACTGTAAGACTTTATGGGAATAGAAAGCCTGGTCTTTCTCCTATGGATGGGGCTGGTGGTTTCACACTGCCGACCTTTCAGTTAGCAGCCCAACTTGTAACCACTGTGCCACCACGCTGATATAGTATCTCACTATTACATTGTGCCAGATTTTATTTATCCATTCTTCTACTGATGGACATTTCGCTTCTTTCCTATAGGATATGTAGTGCCATTTAGAAGTTGAATAATTGAGGCATAGTGTGTGGATATATATGTATACACACACACACGTGTAAGTATGTACAGATACATTACACATGCACACACACACCTTTTAAGTCAAAATAGATATGCCAAAATGCTCCATAAGCTGGCTGTGCCAATTCACTCTTGTAATACCTGATTTTTGCCAGTGTGTTATAAGGCAAGACATTGTTACATCTCATTCTCTGATTATCAACGAGGTTGAGTATCTTTTCTTTCTTTTATTTTTTTTAGAGCCGAGACAAATTTTATTGGGATGGGTTCGTTTAAAGAAAAGGAAAAGAAAAAAGAATAAAAGAACAGGAATAGAGAGAAAGTCAAAAGCCAGGCTCACACAGGCC